AGTCTGGCTTTCATTCACTCCACAGAAAGTATCCATGGAAAATAACTCCCTTGTCCCTTGATAACATTCCTAAGCAGCGACTTTCTATATGTGGATAAAACCTGCAAAGAGCAGAATTTGTATTTGTAAAGTTACCATTTCTGTTGTGGTCCCCAGAGAACTCTCAAGCCTGTGTCCCTCTGAAAAGATAATGAATTCACATTACATTTTCATCCTTATATTATTTGTCAAAGCCTGTTTTATAGAAGTCATTTGACTTTGTAAGAAAAGTCCAGACTCTTACATTTCTCTGGTCATTATGGAAGCCATCAAATAAATTGAAAATGACTCATTAGGTAAACAGTTTTACACAGCAGATGAAAACTCATATCTTCGTAGAGGATTCTTAGTTGTTAACAGGAAATATATGTCTATCTGCTAAAAGATTTTTAGACTCTGAGGAAGATGTGTAAGACCATGCCTGGTGCCACCTAGCACTGAATCCCAGTTTTGGAATATATCAGTCCCCTCTGCCTAACTTGGACATCTATAGCTATGAATTAGCAATTATTCTATTTCTCTTAGTGAATTTTTGGACCATTTATTAAATTAGGAAGTTAGTATTCTTTACATGTGTTATCTGGTACCCCTGTGTAATTTTCAAAGGGTATTTATTAATATTTTAATAGTAGTACTGTTCAGCCTTAAATTGGTAAGGGACAAGTGTCCCTCTTGGGAAATTGAGATGAAGAGGAGGGAAAGAAGGACATCTTAACCCAAAATGCAATCAAATAGAGGTAAATTTTTTTTTGTTTAAAAATGTCCTCTGATTTTGTGGAAAGAGCATTGGATTTGGCTTTAGAGGAAATGGATGTGAATCCTGCATCTACCATTTACTACCTTGGTAATTCATTGGACAATGTGCTTTCATTCCCTAAACCTGTTTCCTCATTCCTAAAATGAGGATGATAAATTATATCTCTAAGGTCTTCTCCATCTCTAGATCTATGATGCTATTGTGCCCTGGGTTCAAATACTGGTTCTATTGGTAACTTCCTTGGTGACCTTGAGTAAGTTGCTTCTCCTTGTCTGTGAAATGATGAGCTAAAGTAGATGATCGCTGTAATTCCTTTTGGCCCTAAATCTACATTCCAGTGATGCTGTTTTACCTACAGTATCTATCAATTAAGGACGTTCTTTTTTTGATACTTGAATAGATTTGTGATCTCATTGATGTGGCATGATTCACAGTTCACTCATGAATTTCTGTTCTTTGTGACAATTGCCCACATCATCCTATAAATCATCTAGGGAATCTACCTACCATGCCAAGAGTTTTGCTATAGGTATCTTGACAATGTTGCTTGGGTAATATAGCCCATGGCTTGTTTATGGGTTATCCTTTGTTCTTGTGACATCACCAGCTTACCTGTTTTTAGGAATGCATTTATTTAATATTTTTCAGTTTCCCTTTATAGTTTAAACCCGATATTGATGTACTTCTGTTTTTCACTCTTGGTGTACTTATTTGTGATCTATATTGAGTGGATGAACAGTCAGCACTTCTTCCCATTGTACCCTGCGTCTCAGTCCTGTTGGCTTTATTTGAGAGAAAGGGAAGGGGAAGGAAGGGGATGAGCATTTATTACATTCCCACTATATGCCAGGCGCTATGCTAAGTGCTTTACAAAGATCATCGCAATTGATCCTTATACCAACCCTGGGAAATAAGTGTTATGTAATCTCCACTTTACAATTGAGAGAAATGAAGCAGATAGAGGTTAAGTAAGCTAGTCACAGAACTACTAAGTGTCTGAGGTCAGAACTGAACTCCGACCTTCAAGACCCAGTGTTCTAGCCACTGTAGCCCGTGGTTGCCTTGTCGTTGACTTCCCAGTCATTGGTTAGCCTGGCTTCAACTTGCCTTTCCAGCTTTATTATGTGTGGTTCTTCTCTACTCTGAGGTCCAAGCAAACTGACCTACTTACTGATCTTCACATGTAACATTCCGTCTTCTGTCTCTGTGCTTTGCTAGTAGCTCTCCAAGTCTGGAATGCGCTCCTTTGTTCTTTTGTACTTTTCACCTCTTAGAACTTCTTGTTTCCTGCAACATTCTGCTTAAGCTACACCTTACTATGAAACATTCCCTGATTCCTTTCCCAGCCACTGGATCCCTCTTCCTACCAACATTTACTAAAAATTATGTTGTATGTGTTTTGTGTATAGCTTAATTTAATAAAGGTACTTGGTGAATGCTTAAAAAGAAACCCAAAAACTTGTTGCCTTTCTGAATTATTTATATATGTTTTGTCTCCCCCAATAGAATGTAAGCTTTCTGACAGAAAGGACTGTTTCATTTTTGTCTTTATATCACCAGTGCCTGAAATATAGTAGATCCTAAATAAATGCTTGTTGATTGATTAGACCCTCATGTATGCTTCAGCCAACTCTCCATCCTCCCATCTTTCACCCTTTCACACCTTTCATTTAGAGTAGAACATCCTAATTCTTCCCCCCCCCCCCCGCACTGACTATTTATCATCTTCTCCCTTTGTATTCATTAAGGTAGCAGGTGTTTTGTGTTAGAAGAATAAAAACAGACACATGACAGCTTGGAGAGAGAATGGCAGTGATTAGCAAGGCCTTGGTGTTCTGTAATCTGTAGTTGCATAACTGTCAAGTAATCTATCAAACTATGAAAAGAGTAGCAACAAATTCAGCTGCAGGCTCTCTTTATCTCCCTTTGAAAGATTGAGGGGAGGGTATGAAATCTAGGATATTTGAGGGCAGTCTAAGGGTAGTTGTATTGCCCCAGTTCAAAGGCCATTGTACAGTCGGTGAGGTGATATTGAACTCTAACGTCAAAGTCTCACAGGAACAGATGTTGAAATGTGAATCCCATGCACTATGTGTATGTGGAAATTAAATCATTTTTCTATCAGCATTGAAAGCAGGAGGGAAAAAATGCAACAGGTGGAGGCAACATCCTGGCAAAAATCTAATTGTCAAACACTTTACTCGCCAAAATAGATTTTTATAGATTCTGGTTTCCTTCAGTGTGACTTTCCTTTCACATTTATTGAGTCTGTCCTTGATTTTCCAATAGCAGTGTGTTCTCAGTGTGCAGTATATAGTAAAGTAATTTTATGAAATACTGTTCCAGATTTTTGTTTGAAGGGGGAGGGGAGAACTGGGATGACAGTCACCCTCTTGGGTCAGCTTCCTCAGTATTTCTAAAGGTCATTTTGTATAATCATTGTGACTTTGTAACTGGTTCATAATTTGGGGGTCTTTAGATTTGGGGGAATAGGTTTGCTTGAAACCAGGTCCCATATATGATGGGTTTTACAGATTTGTAAGTATCCTGTAGTCTCCTGTATATTATTACAACTTACTAGAGACAGTTTGATAGAGCTCAGTGGATAGAACACTGGGCCTGGAGTTTGGGAGGCCTGAGTTCAAATCTGCCCTCAGACGCTTACTAGCTGTGTGATACTGGGCAAGTCACTTGACCACTGTTTGCTTCAGTTTCCTCAACTGTAAAATGGGAATCATAATAACCCCTACCTCCAAAGGTAAGGATCAAATGAGATAATAATAGTTTAAAAAATGCTTAGCACGGCTCATGGCATATAGTAGGCACTATATAAATGCTATATGAATATAAATATTCCTCTGCCTCTCCCTGTCACCAGACTGTTTACTTGAATTTCTTATACAGAACCTCTTACTTCAGTGCAACCATAACTGGAAATAGGCATGTGTAGTAAAATTATGATTTAGGAAGCAGAGTTTAATTTTTGCCCAGAAATATGATTATTCAACCAGTATCTGATATAATTATGCTCTTTGGTGGGGAAGAAGGGATAAGAAGAATCTGAGTAAGAGTGGTTAATGTTTGTAGGGATGTTGGTTTTTTATACAAACCTGATCACCAAAGTTTTATTAACCTTTCCATCTATTTCTGGAAACAAAGCATGTTAGAGCTAGGAAGAACCTTAGTTGAGTCCTCTCAGTTTAAAGACAAAACTGAAGCCCTGAGAGATTAAATAATTGTCCTGGCATCACACAGATAATAAGTGGTAGATAGAACTTGGACCCAGATTTTGAGTTCAAAGCCAGACCTCTCTCCACTCTACCAGATTGCTGTTTTGCCACAATGTCTCTTCTGCTGATTTCTCATCATTAGCCTTGAAGAATTATCAGCTTTTATTATGCTTAAAAGTTTTACTTGCTTCCTTCTTTCCTTTCCTTTTTCTTCCTTTTCTTCCTTTCCCTAAACAATTACTATGTACCTAGGCATCTTGTTAAGCGCTGGGGATATGAAGAAAGGCAGAAATATGGTCTCTGCCCTCAGGGGGCTCACAGTCTAATGGGAAAGACAACATGTCAATCAATAACTATGTACATTCAAGGCACATTCAGTGTAAATGGAATGTCATCTCAGAGGAAAAATGGCACCAGAGACTGTAGGGGATGAGAGAGGGAGAGAATAAGAAAGGCCTATTACAGAGGGTGGGGTCTGAACTCAGTTTTGAAGGAAGCCAGGGAAGTTCAGAATCAGAAGTGAGGAAGGAGCGCATGAGGGACAGCCTGAGTAAAGGCACAGATATGGGAGCTGACATCCTGTTGCTAGACGGTAGAGTGTGTGGAGGAGAGTAAAGTATAAGGAGACTGGAAAACTAAGGTAGGTGGAGAATGGGGGGGATGTGAAGGCCTTCAAATACCAAACAGTGGACTTCATATTGGATATTAGAAGTGAGAGAGAACCATTAGAGTTGGAGTAGGGTGGTGATACAGTAGCTATGGTGTCACAGAATGAGGTGAAGCAGTCATAAGATCAGGACCAGAGAGAAGGGGCAGCCAGGACAACATGGCAACATGATAAAGAGGTTTCAGTAAAAGATGGCGCCTAACTCTGCATGCATCTGAGGCCCAAATTGCAGACCACCCACATTTTTAAACACTAAAAGTAATGACAATCTGGTTTTCAGACTTTAATTGTGTAAAATACTTTGCAGCCCACCGCTGCGTGTATACAGGAGTTCCTTACCTTGCTGGCTGTTTGTCACACTGTTGTTCCAGAGCATGATGGCAATACTATCAACTACCAGGCCTCTTCCCCAGGTGAGTGTGTTCCACCTGAGATACTTTGCCTTTTACTTTTTAGATTACTAGATGTATTCTGCCTTTGAGGCTCATGGTGGCTCTGTTGATTGAGAGTGTGGTATAGGTTGAATCTGAAAAAAAACAAAAACAAAAACAAAAACAAAAAACTTATCTATTTGTTTATTTGGGTTTGCTTGGGGCCAGAACCGGTTTCCATGGTTTAAAGGCAGTTGTTGGGAAAGGTATCAGTGCTATGGAAAAGTGACACTGTCTAGTCCCAGCTTTACAACACTTTAGCAGCAGAAACATGACATGTGGAGCCTCAAGAATTCTTGAAAGGTTATCTCTTCATCCTGGCTTCCCAGCAGCAGTTGTTAAACCCTCATCTGAACCCTGAGAGAGAAAAAATGAACCACAATGAGAAAAGAGTGATGTTATGTCTGGCTTTGCCAACGGATTTTAAGTGTGAGAGACCCTGAACTTCCTATTATTAGATAGAGATAAAATGATCTCTTATTACCTTGGCTTTTTTCTCTTGTTGTGGTACAGTGCCATTTGGAGGCATCTCAACCAAGCTGTGCCTGAAAAAAGATCCCTTCTACATCACACCTGATAACTGGGATTTACTACCAGTGATGGGAGCCCACTGTTTCCTGGGGCAGCCAATTATACTTTGGGATGGCTCTCACTGTGAAGAATTTGCCTGACATCAAACAAATCGCCTCTTGGCAGCTTCCATGCCTTTTTCCTTGTTAAGTCCTCTGGGATCAAACTGAACAAGTATATGCCCTTTTCCAGATGGCAGCCTTTCCTTCAAATACTTGAAGACAGTTATTATGTTCCCTTGAGCCTTTGCTTTTCAGACAAAATAGCCAAATAGTCAAAAAAGTAATATGATTTAGACCTTTGTGTCCACCTCACTGGATGATTAATGGGCATATTGAGAAATGTGTATTTTATCTTAACTGTGAATAGTCACAAAATCATTAATTTTCAGCTTCTAGGAGAACTGTTTAACAAATTGCTGATACACTGTTCAAAATGTTATCCAGTGGTTGAAAAAATCTTTGGATCCCTTTCTTATTAAGGCCAATTATGTTAAAATGGTAGGAGAGTCTTAGCATTCAAATGTACCAATACTATAGTTTCATCTTGGTGATAGACATTATTTCTTTAACTCCTTAATATGCACCATTTTTTATCAACAGATGAAGGGGCATTAGTGAAAGGAGCAAAAAAACTTGGCTTCGTCTGTACTGCAAGAACTCCTGATTCTGTTATCATAGAAGTTGTAAGTAGGATGCTTGTGAACTTGGCATGTATCAGACAAATCTCTGTTACGCCTTCAGAAGGAAGGTTTCCTCTCCAGTAACAGACATACAGTACTGACGTAAAGTGCAAAACACAAATAATCTTCCTTGAGCTTTGCTTTACACCCCTATGTGCTAGGTCTTGTTTCCACTTTACAAATGAGGAAACTGAGGGTTAGAAGGTATGTATATGTGACTTGTCCAAGTTGACAAAAATACGTGACAGAGCCTTGGACTCCTTGTCTTCCTAACTCCAAATCTAGCACTCTAGCCACAAGCTCAGGCTCCTCCACATTATAATCAGGAAATAAACTATTTTAATTTTTAACTATGTCTTGTGGGCATGTTTGTTAATTCTTTGTATTATGCACGTTGCTTTAGTAAATGTCACCTAGCCTGAAAGCTCACCATAAGGCTTTTGGTGTTTTGTTTACAAAACTTGGCCTCCACATTTACATCTCTTGAAGTAACTTTATACGTGAAAACAGTGTAATATTCCATTCTTTAGTAGTTTGGGATGATCTTTGTACTTGAGCAAATGTCCTAACTTAATTTTGCCCTAGACTATGATATAACTGTTTGGGGCTACATAGGTAAAAGGCATAGCAGAATAGAAGAGATAGAAGGCAACAGGAATCAAAGATGTGGATAGGAGCAAATTATCATGTTCTGCCTGCCCTGTGGGCTTGAGAACTGGCAACAGAGATTCAGTTCAGGTAAGGAAGCATTAAGTTCAATCAAAGTCAGGGCTCAGAGGTGAGAGAACATCTGAGCCTGGGGGCCAACAGAAGTAAATGTTGGGAGGTGCCAGAGATGGGTTGGAACACTTGATTAGACCAAATCAGGATACTACAAATAGTCAAAGATAAATTTGGGTTGAAAGCATCAGAGGATGACACATACTTGCCATACATGTATTTCACTTTTAGGGATTGTGTCCAGCATAAGGTCTAAATGGAAGAAGGATTCCCTCTAGAAGGTGAAGTCCTTTTAGTAGATGGCATTGTGCTAATGGCTTCAAGCCCTGGGATATTGCAGAGCTTTCTAAATGGAATCCATAAGTATTCAGGAAAGTTTAGCCTCAGTAGCTACATAGGTAAAGCTAAGTGGATGAAGAATATGCATGTGCAGTTGGAGATGCAGTCCAGAGAGGTGGTCCATTGCTATGTCTATATCCTTGGATGGACACTGCATATGAACAGTGAACTAGACACAGAATGAAATGGGAGAAATGGCTGAATTACATAAGGAAAAGTGTTCAGTACTTATAACGATCCTCAAGCTTCTCTCTGAGACAAAGACCAATCATTTTAATATCAAACTTCTTTTGGCCATGCTTCATATGACTATGTAGCATACCAAAGACTATAGAATTAAGCTGTAGGTCACCCAAACGGTAAAGGAGAGGCAGAAGCATGATACGTGTGAGTAGTTCAATGAATAACCACACAGGAGAAGTGAACTAAAGCAAAGTAATGAATGACCGGAAGAGGGAGTGGACTAGTCATGTAATAGGGACAGCAAGGGAAAACCACTGGAAAGAGTGTGTGGGATTGGTACCTGTGCAATATCAAGAGAACTAGAGAAAAGCACCCAGCATATTGGGTGTGTCTTTTGTGAAGGAGTCATGGGAGGACATGATTAATACTCACACAGGAGGACACTGTGTTCATGGCTCGTTATCTGCACCTTTGGAAGGAGAACCCAAGTCAAGGAGATCTCTGATCCATGCAAGCATTGCAACTTCAAAGAATGTTTAAAGATGCTGTAATAAAGAACTGTAGAGATGATCAGATTCAATCCCTTCATTTTAAAGATGAGAAAACAGTCTCTGAAAGTTTAAAGGGCTTTCCAAAGGTCACACAGCTAATAGATCTCTGTCTAAGTCAGAAGTAAAACCCAAAGTTCTTGACACTCTCTCCAATGTGTTTTCCGCTACACCACATACATGGTTTTTTTTTTGTAGTACTGAAAATCAAGTAGAAAAGTCTATACGATATTAGCTGATATAAAACTGAAAGTCTTTCTTCCTCCACTCACCCACCCAAAAGTCTGATTTTTTATGGGTTTGTTTATCCTTCTATATTGTGATGGCATCTTGATTTATGTTTCTGTTTGGATGTGTCATTTCTGTTCCCTTAGTTAAATGTTCTGCCATCTCTGCAACTTGTTTTTTTCCATTTTTGAGTAACAGTTTCAGTTGCCTGATCTTCAGTGAGCTGTCCTTAGATCCTGATGCTCTGTTAGCCAGGTACATACTATGAATCTGACGGCTCTTTTCCGGAAGAGTGCTCAGCTGGCAAATTAGGACTTGTTTTTACCAGAAGAGGGAGCTGTCATCACACAAGTTTTGTCCTATAATTTTTTGAAAATGATGTCTTGGGGCTAGAGGTGGAGCACATATATAGTTTAGGGGAGTATGGAGGTTTGGATATTGTGGGGGGGAAAGTAACTTCTGATTATTTGTAAAAATAGATTGTTTTATCTTCCTGCAGTTGGGTCAAGAAGAAACATTTAAAATTCTTAACATCCTGGAGTTTTCAAGGTATGTTAACTTTTCCACACGCTTAAACATTGTAATGTAAGCAGCAAAGGAATGCATCCTACTTCCTTCATAGGATTATGTGAATGTTTGGGTTTTTTTATATATATTTGGCTGTTGCTTCTAGCAACACATCTTCATTTTACCCAAGATGACATTTCCCCCCACTATCAGTATGCCTACAAAGATGCTTTACATGAAATAAAAATCAAGCCAAGCATCTTCAGCCCCTTAGCAAAAAAAGTTGCTCTAGGGTAGGAGTTCTGAACATTTTTTGGAGTTATAGACCTCCTCTGTAGTCTGTTGAACCTATGGGCTTCTTCTCAGGATAATATTTTTAAACAACTTAAGCAAATGCTAAATTTTAGTTAGAGATGAATGAAAATATGGATACATTATTTTTCCTATCCAAGTTCATGGACCCTCAGAAATCTGTCTTCAAACCTTTGGTTGTCTGTGGACTCTTAGGTTAAGAACCCCTAACTTAGGGTATCTTAAGGATTTTAGAGCTGGAAGAGACTTTAGATGTTAATACATTGTCATCGTAGTAAATGTGATGAAGATGGCTGATGTCCAAAAACCCAGTTGAACCTGAAGTATTAACTTTTTTTTTCTTTAGAGGTGGACAATGAAATCATCTGTTTTTCTTCCTAAATGTCTTTTCTAAAGAAACTCAATACATCTCCATATCCTACTCTCCTTTTCCATTTCAAAGGCCCTAGTGCTCTAGCAGCTGGGGCAGAACTCCCACCAGGGCAGCAGCAGACATGTCTGAATAATTCAGGGTATGTCGATGATGGTATTATTTTCATTGGAGTTTCCCCAGGTCTTGTGAAGTCATACCTCTTGCACCATCTGAGCACTGTTAATGTAAGAGCTGAGAAATTGGAAACGGAAAAGACTGACTGATGAGATCATCAGTTCATCCCAGTGGAGGGTCAACGTAGGATGGCTCCTTTGGCCATGTTCTGAAGCACTCTCCCTCAAATCCATTTTAAAGTGTTTTAAGCCCTGGGGATGTTTGTTCTTTCCCCTGGAAAGATTTTTATTCCAATAAGACTGTCAAAAGAAAATATTTCCTAATATCTAGTATATGTTTCTCGGTTCTTAACATCTGGCTGTTACTTCTAGCAGCACACCCATTTTCTATCCTGCACACTTTCTTCTCCATCATCAGAATGCTCATGTCAGTGCTTTATTCAATCATCAGTCAATAAAAGTTGCATAATAAGATTGCTTTATGTATTTAACCATTATTCAAGCAAGTTGCCTGAATTGGTTTTGAAAAGATATTTTAAAATCATATCAAGCCTTTATGACTTCTCAGTCTTAGTCATTGCCTCTTTGCATTCTGTGTGTGTACAAAGGATCTCTTTAACAGCTCAGGATGCTAGTGATGGAGGGGATTGAGGAAGCAAGATAAGTGGAAAAGATGAACATGGCAGCAGCCTTAAGGCATGAGAAGCTTCTGTCTTCTACCATCTAATCTCTGACATCCTAGAAGAATTACTTGGCTAGTTGTCTACTGAACTTAGGCTCTCTGCAGAGCAAGGACAAGTGCAAAATGACAGGAGTTTGAATAGAAAGACATGGCAAAGGAGTCAGGTCTATGTGCTATGTTTCATGAGAGATATTGACAAGCTGGAACACCTCTCCTGGAGCCATCTAGAAGATGATTTGGATGATGAGGGGACTCACATCCATTTCCTTTGAGGAGCAGTTGAGGAAATGAGGAAGACTTAAGCAAGACATGCTCGTTGTCTTCAAATACTCCAAAGGCTGTCATATTAAAGAAGGACTTATTCTTCCTGACAGAGCTTTCCAAGAATGGAATGAACTGCCTTGGCCCCTCATTTCCATTATGGACAAAGTATTCAACAAGAGAGAAGAAGCAAATGCTTACTTGCTGGAAATTATTCATTCAGAAGCCTTTAAGCTCCTCAGCATCTATTTATGCATCTGAAGAAGGGAAAAGAGGAACTATAAAGGAAAACTCTAAGGTCCCTTCCAGCTCTAAGATTCAATGAAATTGGAGAAGATAGAAAAGAGGAAATATCAAAACTGAGGGGATAAAACAAGTACATTTTGGTCATATTTAGGGTCTATTTCTTGCTAGTTTTATATAAACCCCAACCCATATACTTGTGCTTAAATCTGTCCAATACTGTTTAAAAGATTCTCCTCCATCCCCTTCTAGGATGTTTTCTGCCTCCTCTGCTTCCATTTTACACTTTTGTAAGCCCCCTCTATGTCAGTATTTACACTTCTGAAAGTGAAAAACCCAGTTCTTCTTGTAGTCTGTGTTGATCAGTTAGAATAAACATGGTAGATTTGTAGAAATACCTTCTTGTTTTATTCCATAAATTAAAAATAACATTAAATTAAAAAAAGAAATACCCTCTCTCATAGGATCAATAAGCTCCAAATAACATATTTCTAGCCTGATGGGTTTGGTAACTAAAAGTTTGGGGAAAACTACTTCCAGACACCATTTTCTCTCTTGGTGATGCTGGTCTGGCTACAGAAGAGCAGAGAGCAGGATGAGCTTTTTACTTCAAAAGATACTTTTCAAGTGTGAGTCAGTTGATTGTTAATTTGTTCTTTCATAGCTCTTTACTTAGAGAGTGAATAGAGAAAGGGAAGAATTGTAATCTCATTAGTCAATTATAGTTTTGATTTTTAAAAATTAGTCATGGAATTTAAAAATGATGGAGGGGGGAGGGGGGTAAAGGCAGGGTGGGAGAGCAGGACAGACAGGGAGATGGCCAAATACAGCTCATACCCCTGATTTCCGTAATGTAAGGAACTCCTCTGTGGAGACACCTTCCACTGATACAGAGCAACAACTCCTCTATAACTTAATTTCAAAGAATTTGCTAAAGCACTGAGGCATTGATTAATTGACTTGTCTATGGTCACAAAGCTGATGTGTGTCAGAAACAAGACTTGAACCCAGGTTGTCCTGATTCCAAGGCTTCATCCGTCCATCAGCTGTGACGTGCAAGTAGAGTTAGAGATTAATTTAGATTTTATTTACTTAAGCTGATTCTGGCTCCCTATTGTCACAAATAATTCAACAAACTTTAATTCAGCATTCAGTAGGCATCTCCTAAATAAATTAGAGCAGGGTGTGTATGTATGTATGTATGTGTGTGTGTGTGTGTGTGTGTGTGTGTGTGTGTGTGTGTGTATATACACACACACATACATACATAAATATTTATAAATTAAACATTTTAAATGAAGGACATTCTTGCTTTCTCTCCATTATTATCAGTGAATTACCTAATTATACTGGGAAGTTATCAATTAATTATACTATAAAATCCGTGGAAGTTTGGATCATTTTTTCCTCATTTGACTGTCTTTTAAAAAATAGTTTTATTGAATCAGGCAATGATATTGAATTCCTGGGGGTTATAAAGGAGAAAATGAATGGACTTGGCCACTTAGGCAGTATGGTGGCCAGTCCGTCATTATTTTGTCAGCAGCAAGCTGGTGATTGAAGCTCTGCTCAAGTTTTCCATCTGTTCTCTGTTTCCTCCCACCTCCTAAACAAAACAAAATATTCTTAAGTTGCTCAGGATGTTAGCTTAGTCATTTGGTAATTTGACCAGGAAGAGAGACCAGTGACAATTTCTTTTTCCTTATAGTGACAGAAAAAGGATGTCGGTAATTGTTCGAACACCATCAGGACAAATTCGCCTCTACTGCAAAGGAGCTGTAAGTACCGGCTTGGTCACTTGCATTGCAGTATGAATTTGCTGACTGTTGCCAACCAGAATATGCTACAAATACTTTTGCATTAATAGCCTGTTATAGTATTCCTTTTCATATTCCCAGTCTCACATGTGGATGACTAATTTAATATTGATTCCATGGGGGAGAAATGCCAGTCATGATTGATGACACTTGAATTGAATGATGGAATAGAGGTCATACCAAATTATCAGATAACACTAAGTGGGAAGGCAGAGGTAACTAACCCACTGGATGACAGAGTCTAGATCCAAATAGAACTTGACAGGCTAGAGTAATGGGCCACATCTAATAAGATAAGATGATAAATATGAATGTAAAATTTTATATTTAAATTTTTAATAATCAGCTTTACAAATACAAGATGGGGAGTTATGTCCAGAGGATAGTTCGTAAAGTCTGGGAGTTTAAGTAAATATCAAGCTCAATATGAATTGTCTGTGAAATATGGTTGTCACAAAAACTAATGCAATCATTAAATTTCATTAAGAGATTTTAGCTTAGTGTCCAGGACTAGGAAGGTGTGATATTCCCTGTCTCCTCTCCTCTGGTTAAAACCCATCTGAAGAACTGTCTTTCTGGGAGTCATGACTTCAGAAGGACATGGATAAAATGGAAGGGGGTGGCTTTGCCTTTGTGTCAGGTGAGGTTTAGTTGTAGGAATTGGGAATGTTAACCTTGGTAAAGAGAAGCCCCTTCCTGGCTGTCCACTATTAGGGTCCATCCTCTTTTGCATACTAACCTTTCCAATGAGGTGGGAGAAAATGTCCGAGTCCTATGACAACCTTGGATATTTAGGGTGTACAACAGAAGGCTCAAGAGAGGGCAGTGTGATTGTTGTCTTCAGGTATTTGAGGGCCATTATGTGGAGAATGGATTAGACTTTATTTTGCTGGGTCCATAAGGTAGGACTAAGAGTCACAGGTGGAAGTAGCAAGGCAGCAAATTTAGGTTCGACTTCAGGAAATAGTTTCTTATATTCAGAGCTATTCCAGAGTGGGGCTGGGGCACTCACCTTACAAATAGAATCTCCCTTCTCATAGGTCCTCAAACATAGTTGAGATGACCATTTCTTGGATATGTTGTTGGAAGGGGCTATTGCTTAGGGATGACTTGGGATTACATGGTTTCTATCCCTTCCAACACTGAGGTCCTGTGATCCTGTCTTATTCCAGCACTCAACAAGGAAATGGCATATAAGCACATGATTGGGGAGATGGGCTAGCCATCAATTTATGTCAAAAAGACATAGGGACTTTTGTAGACTGCAAACTCAATATGAGCTAGATAGGAAGTTAGCTATAAAGGGATGCTTTTAGCATACAAAACCCTGTGGCCCTCTGCCCTGGTCAGACCACATGAATAAGAAGAACAATAGCTGGTATTCACATATATATATATATATATATATATATATATATATATATCACATTAAGCTTCACAAAGCATTTTATATATGTAATCTCTTTTGATCCACACAGTCACCTGGTGAGGTAGGTGGTGTTATTATCATCCCCATTTTGAAAATGAGGAAACCAAGGCCGAGAGAACTTAAGTGAAGGGTCACACAGTAAGTTTGTGATGCAGGATTTGGATACTCAGTTCTTCCCGACTTAAGGTCCTATGCTCGACCCACTGTACCCTTTAGTTGTGTGGAGAATTATGTTGTATGTGTGGCACCACAGTTTAGAAAGTAAATTGATGAACTAGGGTTCTGACCCAAGGAGAGCAATCAGTTTGGTACTGAGACTTGAAGCCATGCCATATAAAGAGAGGTGAAAATAATCGGGGGTGGGATGGGGGGAAGACGGAGGAGGTCGTGATCACTGTTATGTTGAAGAGTGATGACACTTGTTTAACTTAGCCCTGGAGAGTAGAACTAGGAGCAATGGGTATAAGTTGGAGAAAGACAGATTTCACTTGGATAGAAGCACAAGAAACTTGCTAATAAGAAGAACTGTACAAAAGTCTTATGGACTGCTTTGGGAGCTAATGAGCTCCCAGGAGCTGGAAGTCTTCAAGTGAAACAGAGACGTCCACTTTTTGGGGATGGCACATCAGAGGCACTGTTTCAAACAGAGGTTAGACTAGGTAAATTTGGAGGCTTCATCCAGCTCTGAGATTCTCAGTCTAATAGCTAAGATTTAAGGAGACTTGAAGGTCATAGTTCTCTTTTATTTGACTTGGAAAGTGATACCAAGTTAGTGTTCTGGTTACTGTGTGGTGGTAATGTGCAATAGGGACTGCCCTGATCCTGTGAGACAAAAATAAGAGTCTGTGGAGGTCTGCTATTTTCAGTACCTGGTCTGAAAAAAGGCAGTTCTCCTGCTTGTGGGAAACTGGCATGTAGTCTTATCTGACTGATAAAACCTCGTGTCTGCATGTATTCATTTCTTGGCATGCATTTAGTATATCTATGATCTTAAGAATCTCATTTTAAATGTTAACATTTAAAATGCCAACATAACATTTTATTGCTCATTCTTTTGTATTGCTATTTTTGAAAAATTCCTTCCTAGATTTGTCAGTGTGTCAATTATTAGTGTTACAGCCGCCACGAAAAGAAATTGAGAGGGTTAAGAAAAGTTGAACTTCTATAAAACCAAACACTATCAGAACAGGAAAGGACATTAGAGATCATCTAGTTTAGGGGGGTCTTTACCTTTTTTTTGTAAGAGACCCCTTTGGTGGTCTGGTGAAGCATATGGACTCATCAGAAGAATGTTTTTAAATACACAAAATAAAATATATAGAATTATGAGGGAAACCAGTCATATTCAGATTTAGTCAACAGTGTAAGTATGTGTGTGTGTGTGTGTGTGTGTGTGTGTGTGTGTGTGTGTGTATGCATGTATTTAAAACAAGTTCATGGACCCTGGGTTAAGAACACTTGATTTAGTCTAAATCCTATTAAGTAAGACAAATTTTGAAAGAAGGGTGAATCACATCTTAGGTTTAGACCTCTCTCTCTATCCTTATTCACATAGAAACCAGAAAACCTAAATGGGTCTTTGTTCTAGTGCCACAAAACAGAAAAAGGTGTTCTGTAATGTTAAACCAAACATCATTGTATCAGAAAATGTACATTCTTGGTTTGGTCATAGTTCTCAGATTTGGTGGGGTACAGTGCTGGATTTGGGTTCACAGGAGGTAGGTTTGAATCCAAATTTTGCTCTTTTCTGCCTGGGTGACTTTAGACAAGTCTTTAAGCTATTTGGGCCTCCATTTTCTCATCTTTAAAATGAAAAGGTTGGACGTACTGCTCTCTGACATGCTTCCTAAAGAATGATCCTAAGGAATCCAACTCACTGTGAAGTTCAAAGCTCATCATTGCTTGTGGATTAGAATTTAGCTACTCTTTCAGGGCTCATCAAAATACCTTTTATTCATTAGGTAGAAAACATATAAAGCTCTAAAATAGTATTTAGAATACTGAAAGATTGAATTGTAATTTTATATGTGAATTTGTTGGTCATGATGACTTCCTCTTTGATAGGATAATGTGATTTATGAGAGACTGTCAGAGAAATCTGAGTTCACAGAACAAACTTTGTGCCATCTTGAATATTTTGCTACAGAAGGTAAGTTATCTTAAACTACTTTTATATTATTACAACTAATAATAAAATTAATATCAACAATAATACCTCACACTTATATATCACTTCTTTTATTTAGCCAGTACTCTCACACTTCTGCATGGGGTCAAATGTTGAAATGTTAGTAATTCTAAATACATATGATTCATGCTTTGTAACACACATATATATGTATGTACATATCTCTGTGTACGCATATATATACACACATGCATGTGTATGCATATATACACATATATATACATATATATACATATATATATATATATACATATATGTGTCTGTGGTGACATGGTCTTAGATGTATATTTGCATGTTTTGGTCCAGAACACTGATACATAAATGTGAATATTTCCAAATCTAGATCTCATTGAGGCTTTTTGAACTTCATCATATTCTGTGTTCATGCCAGCAAGAAAACATATTCATCCTCATGCTATGCTTCCCTCATTCCTGTAGGGAATCTACAGTCCATTATGTACAGTCCATTCAGTGTGTCTGGGTCTGGTGTCAAAGGCCCTCCAGTGGTAATAGGAATTTGAGAGTAGAAAATGGCCTTGTGGATAACATGCATTGTCTGAGATCTTGTAGTTTCATTCTGTCACTCAGAGAAGCCTGTATTCTGTTCACTAAATAGACAGCTGAACCAGCCCCTATAGTTAATGGGCTTAAACTTTTGTTAGCTATATAACACTGACTTCTCATCACTTGATTATAGACACTGAAATCACAGTGACTGACCCCAAGCATTCTCTGAGAGACTCTAAACCAGGCTTCTGGTTTCCATCTTCCTTGCTTTTGGAGGTGACAAAAGTCATAGACTGTCTTGCCCAAGATCATGTTTGAGCTTGTGAGCTCCAGCCTCTCACATGCTTATGTCTCTGGTACGAAAGCATGGATCTCTTTACCAAGGTCTTGGTACCTTTGACTTCTGTCCTAATAAACATAATTGTGCTCCAGGCAGGTATCAGAAGGTAGTTGCAGGAAGTGCTTTAGAATGAAATATGAGACAGCAATTCTTTTAAAGTGGAGATTTGACTTTGAAGTTCTGGCTGTGTTACCATAAATAGCCTTAATTCTTAGAAGAGGACTTACTCTTCCTCTCTTCATTCCCACCAAAGGTTCTCAAAAGAAAGAAGGTTCTCAGAGATGTCAAAGAAGTCTCCTAGTGCTATCCTGATGGATTACTACTTGGTTAAGTTGGGAAATAAAGAGGGAATGGGACAACATGGATAGAGGGCTGGTGTTAGAGTCAGGAAGACCTGGGTTTAAATCATGCTTCTGTCACATACTGACTGTTGTGACCCTGGGCAAGACATTTAACTTCTTGGGGCTCCAGGCTTGGGTCTCCAAGCCTGTAAGTTATAGATGAGCTGCCCATCTGTAGTGGTAGAGGGAGTTCCTATACTAGGAGTTCATTATGCCTATGAAATTGCAACTCTGTATCATCCTCCCCCCCAAAAAAAAAGAAAAAAATGGAAATTCTAACCATTGAAAAGTAGCAAGAACCATTGAAAGACCTCATAAAGCTTGGAGTGTGAGAGAAGACTTTTGTTTTTTGGTGGGGTTTTTTTGGATATTGTCGTCAGGTGGTGAGTTTCTGTGAACTGACATAGAACGTGACATTTCTCCATTATTTGCTGTTCTTCAGGTTTGAGGACACTCTGTATTGCCTATGCAGACATATCTGAGGATGTGTACCAGGAATGGTTGACTGTTTATAATATGGCCAGTGCAACTTTGAAAGACAGAACTCGGAGGTTGGAAGAGTGCTATGAAATCATTGAAAAGGTAACCAGAGCAGATGGACTCTCTCCTACCAAATCAGCTTCCCTTTGACTGGATTATTTTCATAAGTACAAAAAAAAAAACCCAAAACAAAAACAACACAGCTATCATACCATGTTATATTAGCATTTACCTTTTTTATTTTTCCATGATCTTAAACATCTGAAATATTGGGTTTTGTGTCCTTGCAAAAGAAGCTCACTTCTTTTTTTAAAAATTTTTTTTAGAAACTCACTTCTTTAAGAATAATTTAAAAGAGACAAGGCTTAAGCTACAGCTTTTCAGTCGTTATGCTTCCTTCTCTCTATTCACTTCATTCCTAGACACCTTTCCTGTGAAAGGAAACATTAGGGGTTAGACTAGGGGTTAGAACAATTTTGTGAGAATTCAAAGTTCCAAGTTGTAGTTCTGCAGCCTTTCAAGACTCATGGGCAGCTTGTTAGATAGCTTTACTATGCTGTACTTCACATTAGGATTATGACTCCTCTATAAATGTAGGACACCAATTCATGATCGAGTTTGTCAGATATTTCCTTTGATATTAAAATTCAGTAGAGTTTGAAGTTATGTTTGTTTGTCTTGAGTTTAGTGAGCTCACAGGTATAAAAATAATTACAAAATCAAGTCTATACAGACCAGGCATCCCTTCATGAAAAGAGACACCTGGAGTCTGGAATATAAGTCTGTGTTCTGGTCCTAACACTTCTTAGGTGTGTGACCTTTGGCAAATCATTTCATGTCTCTAGGCCTCAAATATGGAATGTGTCAAATAAGAAAGTTGGACCATAGGATGTATGTCCTATGCTGTTGTGATTTGAGTATTTTGGGGAAGATGAACCTTTTAAGAACATCATTGGTATCTTTTAGTGCAACAGAGCAGTAAACTAATTATACTATAGTGTGAGAGAGGTGGAATTTCCCCCAGGTGAAAATTGGGCACAAATTGTACTATTTACTTGGCAGATCTGACTCAACATATCTTAAAATTGACTTTATACCATGTGGCTATGATAGTAGGGGAAAACCTCATGAGTTACTTATAAACTAAATGTAAAAAACCAAACCAACAAACCCCAAACCAAAAAAGAACATTTTCTTGTTCTTTCAGTGTTTTGACTTTTTCCTTCTGAATAAGTTCTTATTTGATTTAGTGCCACTAGAGGGCAATATTTCCACAAAACTTTTTAATGTAACTGAGATGAAACTCTTCCAGGATACTTTAACTTTCCTGAATTTTAGACAAAAGAAAGGAATAGGAATTGGACGTGTGATTTCATTGGTAGAGGGGTGCTCCTGGGAGAGGAAACTCTTAGTACCAGTGCAGGTCAGCGCCTTTTCTGCAGCCTTGAGCAATAAAGAGACAAAACAAACAAACAAACAAACAAAACCATGATTGAAACTAGATCTTTAGGCCATAAGATTTTCTTGAAACATAGCTGCTAACACTCTTAAGAGCTAGTGATTCTTCCATTCATTTTATTTCCCTCAGAGAAAACCCTGAAACCATTTCCCTCAGCTGATTTTCCTGGGGTGCATTAGAAAGGTGATAAGGGAATTCCAGTAAGCATCTGCCAAAATGATTAGTTATAAATGAGGAATGGCAATTTTCTAGCAGTTTGTAGTAGTAGAACACTGGCAGAAGGTCCTCCATACCTTTCTTTAGTTTTAGTTTTTTGGTAGCAACTATTGTAGGATCTCATATTAGAAAAACAGGCAAGAGTAGTGTTATCAAAAAAAAAAAGAGTAGTGTTATCCTTGTTTCTTCTACCCTGTATCCAGTTGTGTTGGATGTACCTTCTGAAAGTGAGACAAACAAAACCAGTGTTGGACTATTGAATTGTAGAGATAATGTTTCAGAGGAAAGGAAACTTCCACTAAGGACTTGCCTTGTGTCTCTTTGTTAAATCTTGGGAGCCATTAACAATCCAATCTGATAAACCCACTTTACTCGTTATCTATCTCAAAGTCATCTGGAACAACACTTTTCCAATACTTACAGAAAACTTACTTTTGTATGGCTTCAGCTGTGGTGTAGCTAAATATCTAAACATTGATTAAAGGTGATTTGGGATGGTCAGGGTCAACATGCATCAGCAAAGTCAGGATAATTTGGAGAAGAACAAGGGTGAAAAAAATCTGCTAATCACACAACATTGCTACAACTCTCTTTTACAGGGTGAGCCTGAATCTAGGGTCTTTGATTTAGTGTGAGGGACAAGGTTACTCTAGGCATCTGAGCCTGTTCCTTTTCCCTTTGAGGTCTTAATCATTCTAAGACCCACATAGCCAGATCAGACACTCTTCCCTATTGTCTCCCCACCCCCACCTCCTTGCCTGGCTGCTTACATGTACATATAGTTCATAAAGCACCTCCCAGGGAAGAGAAGAAATCCTGTGGTGCACTTTCAAAGTCTAGGCAGTTCAAAGGCTGGCTAGTGAGCCTTGAAACAGAATGAACATGTTACTCTATTGCTGTTCAGTTTCATATTATATTATAAAGAGGGAAGAATTTTGGGGGAAAATTAAATATATATGTATATATATATTTATATATATAAACATATTTTACATATATGTGTATATATATACACATATGTGTATATATACACACAGAGAGATAAAAAGAATAGTTGGCATTAATATATCTCACTAAAGTTTCTAAAAGTTTTTACACAGATTTTCATTCGAGCTGCACATCAACCCTTTAAGATAGGTACTAGAAGTATTATTATCCCATTTGACAGATAAGAAAATTGAGGCTTGGAGAGAGGTTAAGTGACTTATCAATGTTTACACAGCTAGTAAGCATCAGATACTATTTTAGGGGAGGCTGAAAAGTGATATTTTGCTGCTGTCAGCATTTATTTGTCTTCTACAATGTATGTGTTAGGGTAGGTGGCATTTGAAATTATTAATCTTACCCTTTCCATTGGTTTGGGACATTAATATTGTCAATTTCAAGTGTTCTCTACTATAAATAAAGAGGCATTTCTGCTTCATTATAGTAAGCAGGGTCTGAAGTTGATGACTTGGAAACCTTGTGAGCCTTGAATTTGAAACGATGGGAGTTGAGAAAAGAAGACATGCCCGTCTAATTCTCTAAGGGAAGAGTTCCTCTATTAAGTCTGTGAATTACTGAATGAACCTAAGTAAATATTCCACTGCAAGTAATGCTCTAATCATGTATTTGGGATCGGAAAGAGGGCATCACAGAGAATGCCCTCCTTACAAAGGTCACCTTTCTTATCCCCATATTTAGCTTCTTTTATCTTACCAGAATTCTTATGCCCTAGGAACCTACAAGGCTTCTTGTCTACAACTGACAGCTAGTGAGCAAAAAAAGCATAATTATAATTAGGATGACAAGAAGCCCTAGGAGATCTGAAGGGAGATCCAGGCAGGTTTAGACACCTATAAGGAGCATTGAGAGACATATTCATGGGTGTTAAGTGAAAGAAGCTCATCACTAGTAGGGAATGGGATACTTGGTGATTGTTTTTTCTTAATTGGGTTTAGTAGAGAGCAGTACAGGAACTTAATCTGAATTGCTTAGGTTGACTAACTTGACAAAAATAGGCTAGACAAATGGGTTTAGGAAAATAAGATGAGAGCATTCATGAGCCAATTACAGCCAGAGTGCTATATGTAGAAAGGACTTTAGGTCATCTGAAAAGGTCAAATCAGATCACTGAGAAACACTGAATATGTAGATCAGATAACCATGTGTAGGATCTCCTCTGAGGCTATTCTCCCAGCTTGAATTTATACTGGTAGGTAGAGTTCCCAAAGGATGGCTGACTTCCTTGGGTTACATTTCTTTATGAGTAGATGATACATGTAACTCCTAAGAACTGTATCATCATTAGGACAGTTAAAAGGTGTCTACTCAGATACAGGGTATAGGTGTGAATCTGTTATGTTGGATCGACTTCAAAAGAAGAATGGAAGGCTGAGAAAAAGGAATGCATTCAGAGAATAGGAAAAAAAGAGATATGCAAAGAAGAGCTTATACAATGGAAGGGAAAATGTAGGGTAGTGAGCAGGCAATGCTTGAATCTCACTTTCACCTCCCCTGTTCAAGGAGGAAAGAATGTATATACACACTCAATCAGGTATAGAAATCTAGCTTACCAAACAAGGAAGTAGAAGGAAAAAGGCCTAAGAGAAAGTGAAGAGTAGAATAAGAAGGATAGATTAAAGAAGGCAGTGGTCAGAAGCAAAACAGACTCTTGAGTAGGGGATAGTGTGAAAAAGAGAAGGCTAAATATAATAGGAAATACACAGTAGCAGTCATAACTGTAAATGCAAATGGAATGAACTCATTCAAAAACAGAATTGGATAGCTGAATGGATTAGAAACTAGAATCTAACAATATGTTATTTAAAAGAGACACTTGAAACAGAAAGAACACACTGAGAATTAAAATAAGAAGCTGGAGCAGAATCTATTATGCTTCAGCTGGTATAAAAAAAAAAGCAAGGGTAACAATCATGATCTCAGACAAAGCAAAAGCAAAGAAAGACCTGATTAAAAAAAGACAGGGAAAATACTTTTTGCTAAGAGGTGCCATAGACATAGACAATGAATTACTATCAGTACTGAGCATATGCACTATATATGGCATAGCATACAAATTTTTGAAGGAAAAATTAAATGAGTCACAAGAGTAAATAAGCAGTGAAACTATATTAGTGGGAGATCTCAATTTACCCCTCTCAGAGCTAGATAAATCTAACCATGAAATAAATAAGAAAGAAGTTAAAGAAATAAATAGAATTTTAGGAAAGTTAGATACAATAGACCCCTAGAGAATATTGGTTGGAAATAGAATAGTACATACCTATTTATTATCTGTGCAAGATATTCACAAAAATTAACTGTGTATTGGGGCATAAAATCTTCAAAAACAAATGCAGAAAAGCAGAAATATTAAATAAACCTTTTTTGATCCATTATGCAATAAAAACTACATTCAGTCAATGGCTTTTGAAGCCATTGTGTA